TGACGCAATGTAACACTGCAAAAATAATGTATTTTTCCGAGGTGAAAAATGATTGAAAATGCAGAATTAATGCAGAATTAATGCATTTTCAATCACTTTGTAAAATAAATGTAATCATTTTTCACCTTGGAAAAATACATTATATTCGCAGTGTAATGATCTTGTTAATAATGTATGATGTAATTTTCACAGCCAAAAGTGATCAATGACGCAATGATTCAATGTACAGCACTTCTTAAGATGAATACAGGTGATTTTTTCCTGGTAAACTAGCTGCAAACCAATGTTTGAGATTACAAATTTTTTCAGATGGGGTCCAATTTTGAACTACTATAGTGCATCTTGTAGCCCTCGTGATACTGATCATTTATGACACCCATATGACCTATTTGTGATCAGTGATGAGTAAGATATTGAGTTGTGAAGTTAAGGTTTTTGGTGTTACACGTTGACTTGTGACTGTAAATTTGAGATTCACACCAATTCCTTATTTCCCTTATAAATTTTTACATACACCTCCGCTACTAGTGATTTAAAGTTTGTAAATTATGTAATTCACTCTTCTGTGTTGAATGAGCTATCTACCAACCTAATCTGACGTCATTTGACATATGTAATGAGCTGAAAACCTTCATTTTCAACGAAATTCACTCATTTTCTTCACCGTACACACCAGCTACTCTCTTTTTGTTGCTCATGTAATATGACATCATCTTCTATAACCTCAAAAATCCCGAAAAACCCTCTTTGCAACCTTAATTTCCACTACTACCACAATTACATATGTAAATTACACATATAACCCTTGTCACAGCCCCCAGCTACTAGGCTCTGGCAGGCCAGCAATTACCTTGGCTTCATGAAAGATTCATGAAAGATTCAAAAAGATTTCAAACTGACTTCAACATAATATCATATGGGGCGCCTGTCCAACCGCCAAAATTCCAATGTCATCATATGACATCATAAATCTGTATGCACCTGCTCCTGTATTCACAGATCAAAAATATATAGTCTATTAAACATTATCATGTAAATTGACTGAGTTATTGAGGTTTGAAAAAAAATCACAGATAAAAAATATTATTTTTGTACTATACACAAGACTAGGATCTTGGATATCTCAAATCTTTATGTATATACATATAAAATAAATTGTATATTCCACTGTACAATACATGTTTCTACATCTTTTATTTTTGCAGCCTTTGTCCAAAAGGCATATTTCTATATGTAATTGTGAATTCTACATGAGCAGTCCAATCTTTCCCTGATTTGTTGATTCTAGGAAGTGGATGACACTACGCCAGATCACTGATTTACCACTGAGTTTAGAAAATTGAAACTGTAGAAAAATATCACCAATACAGGAGAGGTCAGAAAAATTTGAAAAAATAACGATTCCATTCATGGGTGCTGTCCCCTCATTTTGCATATTTTTGCATATTTTTGCCATGATTTTTGAAGTCTTCCCAAAGCAAACTGCTCACAGGGGATATTATGTCAGAAACTCAAATTTGGTCCAAAACTAGCAATATTTGGGCAAAAACCTCCAAGCACAAAGATATGAGTATTTTTGTTCAATCATCTGAACACTTGCAATTTATGGAAGCCACATGATGGCTCTACAAGGTTTATTAAGGTGCTGAAGCCATTGTAGTAATGACTTCTATGCTTATATATGGTTCCTGCTGTGTACATCTCTTGATATATCTCACCCATTCTTGGAGACACACAACTTTTTTGTGCACCCAAGCTGTAGAGCCAGAGTGGCATTCAGAATGTCAAGACACTACATGTTTTGGAGCAAAATTGATGATTTTGTTGGTGTTGCAAGGTCACTGTGTCTCTACCTGCCAGTTTTGGACCAAAATTGGGTTTCTGACATTATTTGAATTGTGGTTGTAAAAATATGAAAAAATATGCCAGATGATTGGAATGCACCAAAGGGCCCAACCAAAATTTTTTCATATTTTTCTGACCCCTCCCAGCTTTTCCATAATTTTCTATGTCTGCTCAATTTTCTAAACTCAGCGGTAAATTTTCAATTTGGCGTAGTGTGAACAAATCAATGGCCAAAACTTTTGGAAATTATTATTTACATGCATATCAGTCTATTTGTGCCTAATTTGGGCCCTACAATTCATCATAATTTGCCTCAAGGACAAAGAACTTCAGAAAATCCAACTTCTGTATATAATCCACAATTACATATAAAAATACTACCCATAGACAAAGGCTGTAGGGAACAGAAATGTGGAGAAACATAGTGCGGAAAATATTATCAAATTTAATGTATATGTATATTGACAAAGATTGAAGATATTCAAGATCCCAGTCTTGTGTATAGTACAAAAATAGGATTTTTTATCTGTGATTTTTTTTCAAACCTCAATAACTCAGTCAATTTACATGATAAAGTTTAATAGACTATATATTCTTGATGTGTGAATACAGAAGCAGGTGTGTACAGATTTATGACATCATATGATGACATCGGAATTTTGGTGGTTGGACAGACAAATGGCCCCATATGATATTGTGTTGAAGTCATTTTGAAATCTTCCTGAATCTTTCATGAATCTTTCATGGAGTCAGTGGTAGGCTCTGGCCTGCCAGAGCCTAGTAGATGGGGGCTGTGTGTTTACCATCCTCGAAAAAGTACCTTTCTGCTGATAACTTCTGTTTTCCCTTATCAACCTCCAAGATTGAAATTGTTGCTGTATAATAAAATGTTGTTCTTTCATATTATAACCTCTTAAATCCCATAACTTTATTATTAATACCCTAAAAACCATTTTCCAACCTGTATACCTCTATTTTTGAATTCTTCTTATCTTTTCTTTTTCTGTCTTTTTGTAATAACCTTGTAAGTAAACTATAATGATCTTAATAATATATTTGAAATGAGATGACATAATCTTGAGCCAATAACTACACATAAGCCTCTAAGAGCTTCAATTGGTCTAAAAACCTCCATTTCGAATTTTCTACTACACTGAAGTTTTCTAATAACTTGATAAAGTGATAATGATTGATTTTCTAGATTGATCCCATAAATAGATCACCACAACAGTAACGGTGAAAACAGTCAATTTGCAGATTGGTTATTACAGCTTGAATCAGGCCAGCTTCCAGAAGACAATCGACATCCTACTGACATAGGGAGAGTCCCTGCTTTCATATGTGCTCCGGGTGAATTAGATCATGCAAGAATTCTGTGGGTATATTGTGATATAATTGAGGATCCATATGGCATAGATAAATCTCGACAATCAACATATTTTAGTGGAGGTGTATCATAACCCCATTAAACCGAGGTGTAAAAGATGTGAATAGGCTATTAGTCCAAAGTGTGATTGGAGTGTTGAAGACATCTGTGTCAAGTGACACTGCCAAGATCAACAAGGCAGAACCTTTGACCAAAGAGGTTCTGAATGCCCAAGTCATAAACAGGTTTCCAGATCATGTCATCGACTTAAAGGACGGTATTCCAGTAATGCTCTTGAGGAATTTAGATGTGGCAAAGGGGCTTTGTAACGGGACAAGGCTAATTGTACTTGACATCCAACTGCATGTTCTGAAATGTGAAGTTATAACGGGTCCAAGAAGCGGCAATATTGTGGCCATTCCAAAAATGAAATTGAACCACGACGGTAAAGACCCGGCTCCGATCAAATTCTCCCGATATCAGTTTCCAATTGCTCATGCCTTCTGTTTGACGATTAATAAAGCTCAAGGTCAAAGCCTTGAAAAGGTTGTTTTGCTGTTGCCCACACTGGTATTCACGAGAAACTGCCATGTTTTGGCTCCATTTTTCTGAAAAGCTTTGTATTTGTTCATAACAACATTGTAATCGAATCCTTCCACAGTTGTGGGGAATCATTCTGCTTGCTTTGTGGTTCATGCAACCTTGGAGGGTAAGCTTTGCCATAATTTTGGTGCTGCTCCGAGACCAACGGGTCGTATGGGTGGCGCCAGCCGACAGGGCTCTAGTTATTGATTAAACTCCCACATAATCCTACAGTGTCACTTGTGTTCCTCTTGGCTGAAAATCACATTTGAACTTCTACTGGAATAGCTTATTACCAAACTTTCTTCAAATGGACAAAGAGGATGAATTTGTCAATGTAATAATTACATAGGTTCTTTGTACAAATCTTGAGCTGGTCTGCTTCCCAAAATCAAATACACCTTCTTAACAAAATCAGTTTGTGAAATGGTCTAATCAAGGAGGCTTACCTCAAAAAAATTCAACAGTTGTACTCAACCCTTTGTACAACAAATATCTGATTAGTAATTACCAAGTAATTCTCAAGTGGTGTCCAGTGCCACAATGATTTTGAGCTGAGGAAATTGCAAAGAGTCCATTTTTGAATTCTAAAACATGAGGAACTATGGTGAGCAGTGAATCCTGTGCCAACATTTACTAAAATTGTTGTAACAATGGAAACTTAGGTGTTTCATGATTGAGCTATGGCGGGCATGCCGGCATGTTCTCTAGTAATTGTAAAAATAAGTCATCAAAAGTCCTTCATGACTCTCTATAAGTTTAACCCATTTCACAAAGGAAAAACCCAAACTGAACCAAACCAAACCAAACCAAACAAAGAAAAACTAAACTAGATTCATAAATGGATGTGTAAAAAAAATCTAAATCAATAAACATAAATCAATAAACATAAATCAAAACAAAAGCAAAACAGAAAAAACAAAAGCAAAACAAAAAGCAAAGAACAAGTTTCCAAGCACCACAGAGTAAAAAGGATTTAAGAATGATGATAAGAATGATAAGAATGATAATGATGATGTAAATAAAACACAACAAATCCTAAACAAAATAATAAGATGTACATAATAAATCATATAGATGATTACCAAAAAAAAACCCATCAATTGATCCAAACCTTCAAAGATGTTCTGAAGAAAAAAAGTTGATTTGTTGATGAAAAAAATCATCTCTAAGTTTCAATACTTTAACTCTTCCAATCAACCTATTTTCATTCCACCTCTTTTTCCACTTTGATGGTCTTATCCACTTCTGCCCCTTTCCCCTCATCTTCAACTACCGAACCTTCCAAAGGTTCGATCTCTCGACCATTCGCTTGACCATCTTTAACCACCTCTCCATCTCTGACCACCTCTTCATCTCTGACCAACTCTTCATGATTCAACACATCCTCATTTTTCATCAACTCTTCTTCCACACTATCCTCAACCTTGACAATCTCTTCATCCGTACTGATCCCTTCCCCAAGCTCATCATCTTCATCACCACCACACAAGCTTTTCACACCTCCTACACTACTCGTTCCACCCCCTCTACCAACACTACCTCCTCCACCCAAAAAGAATCCAGGTCCGATACTTTGACCTCCGTTGGTTTTCATCGAAGCTCTTGAAAGAACTGCGCCTGACCATCTAGATGATAACGATTCGGTTGATTCTCTTCTTGATGGAGCAAGTGCTCTAACAGACGCATCTTCATCAGGCGGAAAACTAATCGACCGCAAACTCTTAATCAGTCAGAACCATTCAAGAGAAGACCAAAGAAAGATGACATACTTTTGAATAGCATGAATAGATGGAGCGAACCCACTGGAGGCTAAAGTGAGCATACTAGCATTATCAGCCAAAGCAGCTGGATGAGGGTTTTGTGAAGGATGTGGTAAGGTATGTTTAGGTACGATGCCAGGATAAGATTGAAGATGATCAAAGTAAACGGGAGAAGATGTTTCGGAAGGAGGACTCGAGCTCGGGATGGTCAGCACCGTTGGGGTGACAGGTGCTACGAGTGATGAACTCGATTGAAGTCTTTGATGATGATGGTTTGCAATCGCACGTGAATGTAATCGATTCGTGGCAGGTTGTGCCATCGTACTTGAACTGGCGGGATTGATGTTATTGGCTCGATTGGATCCTGTACGAGTCAGGGTTGAAGCACTAGGGATCAGTGGAGGTGAGGCTAGTGCGATCCGATTGGCTCCAGCAGTTGTCTCTAGTGACACGACGGTGGTAGGTTTAGTAGAAGCCAAGGAGCCGTTCCCGAACGCACTAAGACCGTCATCATGATCATCAGCTGCATGACCACCAGAATGGTTATGATGATGATGGTCAAATGAAGACGCGTAACGAGTAGAATGGGATCGAAGAGAGGATAGAGAGCCGTGCTGACGAGGTCGTCGTTCAGAAATAGGTGATTCGGGAGTGAATTGTAAGGGAGAAGCAGAACGAGGTTGGGATTGGAGATCGAGATCATTGGTAGGTGAAAGAGCTTCAGAGGATGATCTGTGTTGATTAGGACTTCTGGTAGAGACAGCTTTAGAGGAAGGAGTGACTGGATAGTTTTCGAATGCATCATTAAATCAATAGAACATTTTTGAGAATTAGAATCAGAAAAGAAACTTACGAGGTCTGATTGAAGCATTAGGATCAGCACCATCTATTTCATCAGTACTAGGAGACTGATTAGAATCCAAAGGATGATGAGGTTTCAAATTAGAATTATTAGGAATCGGTAAAGTTTCATGATGATTTGTGGTAGAATGAAAAGATTTAAGAGTTGCTTGATTTTCATCAGATGGATGTTTCGGTTTAGGCATCAAGGAATGTTGCTGATGATGATGGTTTAGATTAGGTAATGAGCTTTTTCTTTTTGAATGGATTGTGGCTGTTGTGAACTTTGAAATGAATCTCGTGAAACGTGAAGCATGTTGAGATGGTTGTTGAACTGATTGAGAAGATTGAGATTGGGATAATGGATTAGATGGTTTGTTGTTATTGAGATGATGATTTGATGAGTTGATGATAGTAGAATTAGGAGTTGAATTCATCCTGACTGATGTGTGTGCTATCAAGAGAAGTTGTTGATGATACGAAGTTGATGATGGGAAGTTGATGAAGACCATCAGATTTAAGAAATCAAGGATCATAGTTTATAGAAACCTATCTAAAACCATATCACTCTTCTCAGATCAAAACCCATACTCAATCTTCATCACTTTCACTTCTGATCAATTCATTCAAACACCATTGCCATCATACATAATGCTGTAGGCTCAATCTCTGAATCTTGACCAATCCCATCTCTCAAATCTCAATTGGTTTCTTCATTTCATTACACTTGCTAATCATGATCATCACGATTACACATCTACACTGATAATAATTGGAAAAAAGTTGATATGGAATTCACAACTAGTAACTCTAGTATCAACTATAAATTGAGTGATTTTTTTGAAAACATATCAATATGAATACAATCAAATCACAAGAAGAATAAAATGGCCAGGAAATAAGTTTGGATCAGATCAGAAACCAAAAGAAAAAACTATCAGGGAATCACTCCCAGTTGGTTTGGATATTGAGGGATTCTGTTGATCGAGTATAGTTACATACGAAATCATACGACGATCAAAACTCATCCCTTGGTGAAAAAAAGTGAGAGTAAACGATGACTGTGTGGGTTAGGATGAAATTCAAATCTATAAGCTTTTCCAAATGATTTCTTTAGAAAAGGAGTTGAGTTAGGAAATCTGACTCAACTAGTAGAATAAACCAATCCACCACCCGACATGCTCATATAACAAGCAGACTGAGTAATAATCTCACTAAAAAACGACACACCAGTTTCAGTGAATCGTTGTAAAGATCGAATCGGTTCTGATAAATCTATTACTTACGAATGAGCCAAAACAAGTGGTAAGGCTACGCCTGTCATTAACAAGAATCCGGTCAAGAATTCAGCCGCTTCGATTGGAGTAGAAGAGTAATCTGCTGAAAATTCATCTGAACCAGTACAACTTGTTGCTAATAGTTTAGGTAATGGTGCTGAAAAGAAAATAGCAGCTTGAAAACACACAAAACCAAAACAATGGGAATGCTTTAGTTTTTTTTTCGTTTTGGAATTGTAGATGGATTGAGAAATGATGATTTACCGACTAGGAGTGGTAGCCATTGAGACCATAATGCGCAACTTAGAATGACTAGTAGGAAACCTAGAGCCAAGACGAAGGAAAGGAGGATGATGGCTAGAGAATTGGAATCAGAGTTGAAAGTTAGTGAATGAGGTTGCAGTTGAATGAGGTTGATAGGAAACTTACTTTTAACACCAGGTTGAAGCATCTTTGGAATCGATCGAAGATTTGAAGAGAGTAACTCAACCAAAACATTCCAGTAATGGTAGACCAACCAGACTTAAACTGCAGTTTAACTACCTTCCAACTGTAGTTTCAGTCTCACTCGATCTAAAAATCCAAATCAAACAACACTTTCAACACTTCAACCATTCAAAAATCCAACATCACATTCAAAGTCATCGTCAAATCAAGAATGAGTTCAACTACCATCGACGAAAGAATTGCCAATTCACTCAAAAGAACTCACGATTTATTTTGTCAAGAAAAACTAATCCAACTAAACGAAATCGAAAGAAGGTAAAGTACTACTTCAAATTCTATCCCATCATTCATTCGATTCTAACATTCATTCATTCATTAAATGATATGTAGTGTTCGAATCAGATTAGCTACCAAGATTCGTGATGAATATAGAGATTGTCAAACACTTCCTTCTGCAGTTTTAGATCAACAAAACACGCTTACTGGTCCTTCTAGACCTACTCCAACACCCGCTACCTCATCAACCAAACCTTTACTCCAAATCGAAGGTACCTTTTCTACTGCTCTTTCAAACCCCTTAGACCCGGTAAACTGAACCCGATTGTGTTTTGTTTAGCCAATGGACATTCTCAATCTACTTCATTAATTTCAAGACCTTCAAACTCAAACTCAACATCAAACCAACCCCATGCAGCTCATAAACAAACCACACTTTTGTCAAAATCTTTAATCGTTCGTAAAGAAGCAAGATCCATCAAACCTGATTTCCATCCACAATGGAAACTCCATCGAGTGATCTCAGGTCATCTAGGATGGGTCAGATCAGCTACCACCGAGCCTGGTAACCAATGGTTTGCAACGGGTGCAGGTGATCGGATCATTAAGATTTGGGATACAGCTAGTTGTAATTTAAAGTTATCGCTTACGGGACATATTTCTACGGTCAGAGGTTTGGCCGTTTCTAATAGGCATCCGTATTTGTTTAGTTGTGGTGAGGATAAGATGGTCAAGTGTTGGGATTTGGAACAGAATAAAGTTATTCGTCATTATCATGGTCATCTTAGTGGAGTTTATTCTCTAAGGTATTTTCGTTTTTCCTTTTTTCTTGATATCAAAAGTTTTGTTTTTGGAATCATGGGATTTGATTCGGGTTTCTTTTTTATAGTCTTCATCCTACTTTAGATGTCCTTGTGACCGCTGGAAGAGACGCGTCAGCAAGAGTTTGGGATATGAGGACGAAAGCTCAAGTGTTTGTGCTTTCGGGACATACGGCTACGATTGCAGATGTGAAGTGTCAAGAGAGTGATCCACAAGTGATCACCGGATCGATGGATTCTACTATCCGGTAAGACAGTCTTGATCTTGTAGATGTTGATCAACCCACTTTTAACGTGTGTTTGTGGTTGTGGGTTTTTTGCAAAGACTTTGGGATCTTGCAGCTGGTCGAACGATGGCTCAACTTACTCATCATCATAAATCGGTTAGAGCTCTAACGATCCATCCTACGGAGTATTCGTTTGCGTCGGGTTCGTCTGGTGGAAATAATATTAAGAAATGGAAGTGTCCGGAAGGATCGTTTGTGCATAACTTTTCAGGACATGATGCGATCATCAATACAGTTGCAGTGAATGAAGATGGCGTGATGTTTTCAGGTGGTGAGTATTTCTAAACTCACTCACCATGTGTTTGCAGAAATGACATTTTTCGCATATTGAGAATCGATTGAATTTTTTTTTCATAGCTGATAATGGATCGATGACATGGTGGGATTATAAAACTGGTCTACCGTTTCAAACTATGAGTGATATACCACAACCCGGTTCATTAGATGCAGAAGCTGGAATCTTTTGTAGTACGTTTGATGTCACGGGGACTCGATTGATTACAGGTTGTGCAGATAAAACGATCAAGATTTATAAAGAAGTGTCGTAAGAATTGTAGTCAAATTAAATCAAAAGGAAGAATCAAAAAATCCGAAAAGGAAGAAAGGAATTGTGTGTAAATTTGTGCGCGGGGGGTTCTTGGAGGAATAGGAGAGTTTATGAATGATAGGTTTCTGTATGTAGGAAAAAATTAAAAAATGGATTTGAAAAATTATAGTTGAATGTGTTTGATTTTGGATCATTGAGATCACCTATTCCATTTGGGTGGGTGAAGATGAAAATAGTTGGATTGTGAAAATTCAAAGACCCGATCTCTTCGTTGAAGCCTTGTAAAGTTGAGTTGTGGGCGCGGACGAAGGTGAGGACACACCTGACGCACACCTTAGAGGATCAGAAAAGTTGAGTGGGCGGGGTGCGAGGATTAGCCCTGCCCGTTTAAATCAACTTCTGGTTCACACATGGAGACCGAATTTCCCTACTTATACTCTTTGATGACGGGTGATCGGAAGCAGGTCCAAGTGCATTCTGTCTAATCAAGATATGCTCAATCTCAAAGTTGTCGGACCAAAATTCTTGAGACACTTTACAAGCAATCGTGACCAAGGGCTATACCAAAGATCCTGATTGATAGATGAGGCTCAGCAGAAGTGGATCTTAGTAGTGTTTGAATTTGAGCTCGAGACGAGACGATAGAATTGAAGCCATAGACAGTCCATGATCAAATCTAGAAAGCATGACAAAATGAATCTACATACTGAAGATGGCAGAACTTGAAGATTGTCCCTGGCCTGGACAATTCTTGTTCATAGGACTGCTAGAGTGCATTCATAGGCACAATCACCAATGAAATATAAATTGGGAGATTCTGACTTCGTACAGGTTTTTTTTTTAAGGTCACGTGACCCGAAATTTGCCTCGTCCACCTCATTATCCTAACTTTTCATCATCATCAAACAACTTCTTTCGCTCATCACCTCGCGTCCAATGCCGCCTGACGCGTCCGACAAGGACCAAATGGTCGAGGACGACCCAGGCTCCAGTTCGACCTCAGGATGGACGAATCCGACCGCGTCTAGCAAGAATGATGACGCGGTCGCTGCTTTTCTCAAGGGTTCGGGAGGCGATCTGCCTCAAGTCGAGCTCACAACCGACAATCTAGGAGCAACTCCTAAACGATCAGAGGTCCCCCTTCTAGCAGAGTTTGCTAAGAAGAGAGCTCGAGCCAGTACGCCAGGTCTCGTGGCCCAAGAACACGTCCAAACGATCACTGGAACTCCCCGAACAGAGCGAATGGCTCGTCTTATTCCAGGCTGTGAGGAGGACCGTTCCCTCAAAGCCCTCCTCAAGAAATTGGTGGCAGTAGCCAACCAGACCATGCAGCTACCGGCTAAAGGCAGGTTGGCAAAGCAGGTGCATATCGATGTGGATTCGTGTGCAGACATCCTGGTTTTGATCAACGCAGCCTATGATCAACACGAATTTGAACAAACGAAGAGAAATCTCTTCCAGCGACCGGCAGCTGACCTTGCAGGCTCCAAAAGAGCGTCAGCGCCGTTAATGAACCCCAACTCTTCGAGTTCTACCCCACCCCCATCCTCCACTTTCGATTTCCGAGCTGACTTGCTAAGCGAGAAGCTTGAAGCGCTCTCAGAGCAGGTTTCAGTCCTAACATCCCACATCATACCAGCGAAACCAACACAAAAACAAAAGGGCGAGACCATTTTTAGCTCATATGCAGCAATGGCCTCTAAACATGCCCCCCGCCAACAAAACACCCAGTCAACTGGGCCAAAGCCACGTCAAAAAGAGACGCCCAAGCCCAAGGCTCGGAAACGTCTCGCTAATACGATAACGCTAGTCCAAATGAACAAGACCAACGTTGCCCTAGGAGGCTTGTCCGTGACTCAGCTTATCCAAGGCTTCAATAAGGCTTTCCAAGCCAACAACATCAAATTCGACGAGTCGGCTGAAACCAGTATCATGGTCAAGACCGTACAACGTCACCCATCGAATGACCTAGTGCTACACTTAGAAAGCGCAGCCGTTGCTGAGAAAGTCCGAGCCACGGAAAAGTTGTGGCTTCCGACAATCTTGTCAACGCTCCAGGTGAAGGCTGAGCACTTCACAGTACTCGTCCACGCCATCCCGACGTCTTTTGATCCGGAAATCACCAGCCACAGAGAGGAACTTTTAGCCTCGAACCCCACCTTGCTTCAAGAAGCAGCTTTCATCAGATGGCTCAATCCAAAGCTAAAAGATGATCCTACAAAGAGATACTCAACGCTCATCATAGGTCTTGAAACCCAAGTCCAAGCTGACAAATGTGTCAAAGAAAAGATATGGTTTGGACGAGGTCTCCACAAGACTGAAGCCGGTAGAGAACCTCCTAAGAGGTGCTACAACTGTCGGAAAACTGGCCACACGGCACCATCTTGCCCATCTCCGGCAATGTGTCCTTATTGTGGAGATGTGCACCACGCTCATGCTTGTCCGATGAAAGGATCAACTCCCATGAAGTGTACAGCGTGTGTACGCTCATTGATAAAACTTGACCCAACCAAATCAGCCAAGAAATTATTTGAGTCAAACAATCAGGACCTCATCCACTCGCCATTCCACCCGCAGTGTGCCACACGCATCTCGGACGGTTTCCCTCCTCACAACCCTAGCTCTTCACCTAAGATTATAGTAATCGACCAAGAAGCCGAAAACTCTTACATACAATGTTAGAAAATCTTTGTCAAAAGCTCAACTTACCAGATACAGAGTCAATTCTACAATTGAATTGCCAACATTCATCAGACACAACAAATTCCCTCTTTAATTCAGATCTCACCATATCTTTCTCAATTCTATCACTACAGGAACCAACTGTCAACAACGTTGACTATTTACCGCAAGAACACAAGGACTGGATACTCATCAGCCCCACCCCAACCGCCAAAAACACAGGTGCTCGCCCAAGAGCCTGTCTGTATATAAGAAAAGATCTTAATGCTCAAATCAATCCCCTCACATCGACTTCTCGAGATATTGCTGCGTGTACTGTCACCTTTGCATCCGGTTTTACGCTGCTTGCCATTAGTGTGTACAATGACCCAGCAATATTCTTGGGATTCTTGGCTTATGAAACCCTTATGAAAAGCCTCCCTTTAGAGATACAACTCCTCCCTACCATCATCAATACCGACAGCAACCTACATTCAGCAATATGGAATCCTTCCCACATCGACACGCAAGACCGTGACGCTGAAAAGCTTATGGATCTCATGTCGGAGTGGGACATGAGCCTACGATCCCCGTGTGGCATCCCAACATTCGGTGTGGGATCACGAACAACACTCGGGACCTCAATCGATCAAGTGTGGGTAAATGACCTCCTAGATGACGTCATCCAACAATGCATCATCGACGAGGACAGTCTTACTAGTCACTTATCAGACCACCAAGCCCTAATAACAACCTTCCTCACACAAACTGCAACGAAATCACCAACTAACACTAACGCAAGAACCCAGAAGAACTGGAAGAAAGTCGAGAAAATCTCAGTGAAAACCGAGATTCAACAAAACTTACCCAAAATAGAACCACTAACAACCCGAGAACTCATTGATGCGTTTGATCTACAACTGACGACTGCCATTACCACAGCTTTAGATAACAACTCACCGCGGAAGCCCCCGATCGGTAAGCACAAAAAATGGTGGAACCCAATGGTCCTAGAGCCTCTACGCAAAGAAGCTCTAAAAGCCAAAAGAAAGATGAAGAAATCTAGAAGCGAGGAGGACCGCCTAGCCTTCAAAAAGGCCAGGAACACATTCAAATCCGAGGTCGAGAAAGCAAAGGTAAACAGTTGGAGAACTTACCTCTCCACGCTAACACATGACACTCTTTTTCAGGCAAAGAAATTCGCCTCAGGTAGACAGCCTTCCCCAGTGATCAACACCCTGATCACATCAACAGGTGAAACATGTACGTCCAACGAACAAAAAGCGGAAGCCATGTTCAACGCCACCTGCGTCGCAACTGCGGCGTGCAACCTACAAGACACAACCCCTCTCGCCTACCCACTCTCAGAAGACACGAAAACCACCACATCAACGATGCCGAGCCTCCTTACATCCCTGAACAAGGAGTCTCTTAAAGACATTGTCAACGCAGCTCCGCCACTCCGAGCCCCAGGCAATGATGGCATACAAAACTGGGTATGGCAACTGCTGTGGCCCGTGGTAAGTAGGCACGTCCTAGCTCTCTTTCAATGTGTTACAGTAACGGGCATCTTTCCATCTTGCTGGAAAGAAGCAAAGACGATCATGACTCCCAAGCCGGGGAAATCAGATTACACCTCGCCATCATCTTTCAGGCCGATAGCTCTCCTCAACACAATCAGCAAGCTTTTCGAAAAACTTGTCACAATCCACCTTTCCCAACAAGTCGAAAGACTCCAACTCCTCAACAACGGCCACTACGGTGGCATACCAAACCGCTCAAGTCAAGAGGCCCTTGTTCACCTGGTTGCTTACATTCGTGGAGAATGGGCAAAAGGTAACATAGTGGGTGCGATGTTTGCTGATGTGAAATCAGCTTTCCCATCAGTTCACCACCCACAACTTCTGGACACATTAGAGAAGATGGGACTACACTCAACCTCCATCAACATCATCAATGACTTTCTATCAGATTGATCGACAAGACTGGCATTCAACGGTTTTGAATCAGCTCCTGTCCACTTATCTCACGGCCTGCCTCAGGGTTCTCCATTATCCCCTCTCCTATATCTTATTTATAACTCATCACTGCTAGATATTGCTAAACCTCTGATTTGGGCAGAAGCTTTAGGTTTTATCGACAACATGATTTTATTGGCAACAGCACCTGACACACATCAGCTTCAATCAAAGATGAAGACACTCACATATCGACAAACAAAGTGGGCCGAAAGACACGGGGCAATTTTCGATGTCAAAAAGAGCAACTGGATGATTTTCAGTCCCAAAATACACAACAATCCACCTACAATCGACTTCGGAACTCGCAAGAACTTAACCC